CAGCCCTGAGAGTGGGCCCATCAGACCAGCCATGTTGTCTCAAAAAAAAAAAAAAAAAAAAAAAGAAAGTGGATTTGTCAGCCTCCTTCCTCAACCTCTTAGCTTCCTTGGACTTTGGGGGTAAGTGTGCATAGACCTGTGCACTGCGGAACAGCTCCCCAATGGCTTTCCATATTCTTTTAATCTAACAGGCCACTTTGGATAGCTGAACATGTGGAGGTTCCTGGAGGATGGCATGCCTAGGGAAGGCAAGGAAGCTCCAGACTCACCTCCCTCCCTGCCCACAAAATGCAATCTCTAAGAATATACGGGCTAGTCGAGGTAGGTCATGCCTATAATCCCAGCACTTTGGGAGGCACCTGAGATGGGAAGATCCTTTAAGCTCAGGAGTTTGAGACTGGGTAACAAAACCCAGGAGGTGGAGCTTGCAGTGAGCTGAGATCCGGCCACTGCACCCCAGCCTGGGCGACAGAGCGAGACTCCATCTCAAAAAACAAACAAACAAACAAAAAACAATCTTAATCATAAACCCTGCCCTTACTGAGTATTCTTGCCTTTCCCCGCAGGGTAGACTTCAATTGTCCTCCAGGTTCCTTCCCTGTGGTAAGTCCTGGGTCAGGACTTACCCCAGGGGATAATGTCCTGGGGACCCACCATCATGTCTCACCACTACCCAAGCACAGACATGGCTTCTGTTCATAAATTCCTATTAAATATTTCTAAGAAAGTGGATTTGGGCCGGGCGGGGCCTGGCGCGGTGGCTCCAAGCCTTGTACTAATCCCAGCACTTTGGGAGACCAAGACAGTGGATCCCAAGGTCAGCAGATCAAGACCATTCCTGGCAACACGGTGCAAACCCCGTTTCTACTTACAAAATACAAGAAAACTAGCGGGCGAGGTCGATGGCGGGCGCTGTAATTCCCATGCTACTCGGAGGCTGAGGGCAGGGGAATTGATGTAAACCGGGTCAGGCGGGGCTAGTTCAGTTGAGCTGAGACTGGCCACTGCACTCTACCCTGGGCGACCAGGAGGCAGATTTTTTTTTTTTTTTTTGAGACGAGGAGTCTTGCTCTGCGCCCAGGCTGGAGTGCAGTGGCCCGGATCTCAGCTCACTGCAAGCTCCGCCTCCCGGGTTTCACGCCATTTTCCTGCCTCAGCCTCCCGAGCAGCTGGGACTACAGGCGCCCGCACCTCCGCCCGGCCTATTTTTCTGTATTTTTTTACAGTAGAGACGGCCCT